CCCGCTACGTATTGCTCTCCTTGGCTGCTATAACTGCTCCTATATGTCGTTTTATACCGTCATTGAGGCTGCATATACTATAATGTGCTATGCTTTTCCCTATTTTCTTTAAGGACCAAGCGAAGTAGATTTAATGAAGCTGGTACCGGTTCGCGACCTCTAACCCCCCTGCCAAGGTTCTCCAAACGTCGAACATGAGGGGCAGTCTATAGTAGTATATAGTTCAAAATAATTACCGAAGCCGATAATTGAAAAAAAATCATGTGTTATGGTAAGTTCACTTGCTCTTAAAAATTAACCAAGATATGTATTGACATGATCCAGAAAACAAAATGCTCTGGAGACATTGTTCTGAGATTAAAGTTATATTTTAGAAAAATTTACACACGAAATTACTGCACAGGGTGTTTAAAAGTTAGGGTAAAAAACAGTAAAAACTCTGGTAGTAACATTTTGTTGTTTGCTAACAGGTTGCTATTATATTAAATAACCTGTTAAAAAACGCCTTTTGCACGTATTTGTCACACGTTCAAGTACGTTTCCATTAAAATGGGAAAAATATTAAGAAAAAAACTAAAAAAGCTCGACAAGCGTTACTTCCATCTAAAAGTGAATCCATTTACCAAAAGGAATATAAAAAATATCTTCAGTGACTGGGAGACAAAAATATTGTAGCAGGAGATGTCGATGAAACTGTTCTCTTGTAAATTGAAAATCATCCACATTATTAAAACAAAGTTATTCTTTCTTAATAATTTGTTTATAATGCATTTAAAATATTTACGAGTGGAAGGATAATTTTTGTAATAATATATGTTAAATTTTGACTATTTTAATTTCACCAAAACAACAACAAAATAAAAAAAGACTTACTAATGCCCATGATGACAGTGCTGATCCAGACAGCAATAAGGCCCTATGGAACAACCCAGGCATCACTGTAGGTGATATCATGAGGAAATTGATGCATGCTGCTCCAGAACCATGACCTGCTAAGGTGACGTTGTTCGGATCACCACCAAACAGAGCTATATTCTGTTGGATCCAGTGTAGGGCAGCAATTTGGTCCATGAGACCATAGTTGGCCACTCGAGCCTTGAGATGAGGGGCAGGATTTGCGTTTAAAAAACCTGGAATAGTTGTTAATGAAGATTATTTAAAATAATGTAAAATAAACCTTAACATTTTTATTTATTTTAGATTTCAAGATATTTTATTATAGTGGGTCAATTTTGGTGGTTTTTTTAAACAATTTGTAGCTAAACCACACCCAACGGCACGAAAAATGGGCTTAAAATTTTAATGTATCTTAAAGTTTAATATATTTCGTTCTAGTGGGCCGATTTTGACGTCTTTTAAGTAGTTTGTAGCTAAATAATTTGACTTTTTTATGTCTATTTCTAAATTAACAATGGAAGTTTCCATGTGTCAATTATACGAGGTAAAACAAAATGTTGATATTTTGGTGAAACTTTGAGAGACCCTGTGGAATATATTAACAAAGCAAGTAATAAAAAGCGATTTTTCAATAAAATTGTAATCAAGATGGCTGGTTTCGCCATGGCAATTTTCTAGTGATAGGTTAGTAGCTATTTTCAAAATCGACATTCGTTTATGGACTTTATTTAAATTTATAACAAGAGAATTTTCTTGACAACCGTTCCTTTGAAAAACTACATTTCGCAGAGCTGATAGTGTGGTATATGGAAAACCTATTAGGCAGAAACATGTCGTTGAAGAAAATGAATTTACCATAATTGTTTTTTTTTTTGAAAATTCAATATATCTACGTAATGTAAAGTCAGAGAACTAGTTCTTTATTTTTCACGATAAAATAATAAATACTTAGAAAATAAAAGTGAACTATTATAAATTTAAATGAAGTCCATAAACTAATGTAGGTTTTGAAAATAGCTACTAAGTGCCACTAGCAAATTACCATGGCGACACCAGCCATCTTGATTGCCATTTTATTGAAAAATGGCATTTTATTCAAAATCTGAGGCAGATATGTATAGGAAACGTAGTTTGAAATAGCATTTAAATTTGCTTCGAATTATTTAAAAAAATACATAGTGTTGTATTTAAAATAACTGTTAATTAAGTTTTTATGTAAAATAAATATTTAAAATAGACCAACAATTTTTGATACCCCTGTATATATTTAAGGAAGCAATCAAGTTTATTAGTAGAGTTTATTTCTCTGGCTTGAAAGTCAGCACAAGAATTAATTCTGAAAAGTAATGTACGAGGTGTTGACAAACTTTTTTATTATAGCATGCATATTTAAATATCTTTAAATATCTCAAAAACCAAAACTTTTAAACATATTAAACTCTTATAATAAATGCCTTATTTTATGCCCAAGAATCCAAAAATGACATAAAATACCGGGTGTTCCATAAGAAAAAACATAACTTTGGTATAGATCTTAGTTCTGACACACCCTGTACATTTCAAAATAATTTTAAATTATGCACATTACCTTCCCACATGTACCCATAAAATATTTTGGTTCTACATCTTTCCGTTTTCGTATAATTAACCGAGGCGAATGAGGCGCCACCCTGTATATATTTTTAATGAGAGTGACGTTACATAAATAATACACACTATTTCAGTTCATTACTATAATAATAAGGACATGTTTTTAATGCTAGTTGTATATCGTCACTTCGTCTTCAAAAGGGAATGTTTTACATTTTGGTTTCTCTTGTATACATTGATTTTCAAAGGTATAAAATGTCAAATTATTTAGCTACAAATGCCTTAAAAAATACTAAAACAACATATATGAACCTTAAGGTATAAGGAAATGTTATTGTCCGTTTTAGGTATTTCTCAGATAAGTTTTATTTGTTTGAAATTATAGCAAAGTTTCTTTTGTAGTTTCCCGCTAGAGCCCTAATATCAAACCCCGTAATCCTCTCTGACTGATTGACGTGATTTACATGTTTGTACACATTAGTTCCTAGCTTGATTGGTTTCGTTGGCATTTCGATAGCCGCTCCCCGTTATTAGACATTCCCCGTCAAAACTTCTAACTGACGAGAAATGGCAACGGACCGAAACACTGGCAGATAGAAAGGAGATGGAGCATCATCGACTTACCTAATATTCCTAATCTATAGTTTAACGTAATTACGACTAGATCGGCGTAGGAGGCCAGAACGCTCCCATCGTAGGGATTCCCAGAATTCCATTCGAACGACTCGCCGTGGATGTAGACTATCACAGGATGGCGGGCTTCACCTGAAACTGAAGAGAATTTGAATGAGATAGTGTGTCAGTTAAGAAAAACAATTGGATATATATTTTATAGTCCTATATTTTCTTTTTAAATTTGAATATAATTTTGTTGATTTTTTGTTTATACAAATTGTTGTAGGATCTACAACATACTATTATTAGAAACTATTATACTATCTATTATACCAGCGAAAATGTAGATACTGTACTGTAAGTACTACAAGCACAAATTAACGAACTAAATACAACCAACAATAAAGTATAGTCTGTTCAACCACAAGATCCATGACAGTGATATATGTGTCTGTCATTTTTTCAAAGTAGTTTACTTTATTTTACAAAGAAATACGTTGGTACAACTGGAACGCAGAGCGGGAAATTAATATATTTAAAATTTGACTGATAAGTAATTACTTCAAAATATTGTGAAACAAAAATGTATAAAACTAAAAAATATAATCGAGATATTTTATTAAAAAAAAGGTATGTGTTAATATAAAACAAACCAGAACAAAACACCACATACCAAAAAATATAAAAAAGAACTATTTCTTACATTCAAGCTTCAAAAAACATCCCGCATTTATTATATTACATTTATCAATATAACTTTTGTACAAATACAAATTTGTAATAGGTATTCCACCGGAATAAATAAAACAACATGAATAAAGCAAACTATTTTATTAATAATAACACTTACCAAGTTTTTATACCTTAAAGGTTGATTAATTAACTTTAATCTTAATTTTTTTAAACTGCAGTACCTTTTGACATTATTTTTCTGTAGTACTAAAATCCATTATTAACCTATCGTGTGATGTCGATATTTCACAGCTGCTCCAGTAGTATATGTTTAGTACCATCCGTGTAGTGTAGTATATACGAGAAGCACTTATCTACGACGAGATGGTATACAAACTTTTTTGATGGTAAATTTATTGGTGAATAAGACTTTCTGCCTGGGCAGCGAGTATTAATTAGAAACTGTGATCTGGGTCTACTGTTAATTTTCCCTCCACTTGACTTCAAAAGACACAAAACACACGTAATAACACAAAATGCATCATCTTCCAAACGCAGATATTTGACATAAGTTGACACAAAATTATAACCTATATTTTGGCAAGGCTTTGCAAGCCTCAAAATCTAAAGGCGAGTTAATACGCATCGGCGTCCGATTATCGTTCATCGTTCCGTCAAACCAATAAAATTGAAATGACGGATTTATATTTAAAAAAAAAAAAACTGGTTAAAAACAACAAGAGACGACGTATGATTTGATTTTATATTTAAACCCATCCATGGTTAACTTAAAAAATATTAGAAATTTTTTTTTTTTAGCAAAATAAATAGAATGGTATGGACGTCATCTGCTTTTCTTCTGGTCATCGTCTGTCGAAACTTACTTGAGAAAAAAAAACAGAGAGAATAAAATAACAAAAACTAATATAAACGAACTAGTAGCCAGAAAAATACATTCTAATAAATATCACAACAGTTGAAGTGTCAATAAAAAAGCTAAACATGAGATAAACATCAGAGTCGTTGATATTTATGGGAACTATCGATTATTGCATATACAAGGTACCTCAAAAAGTTAAACAAAAAGTTATTATTTTAAATGTCTTATTAGCTAGAATAAATAAAGTCATAAAGTTAGACTGATGACTTCAACTCTGTATATTACATTTTTCAATTTTTCCTTCACTCAAGCAATAATCGTAATACACATAATGTAACTAAATTCAACCAATTCCGAATTATGAAGTTTTGATTTTGGAATATTAAACGAAAATTTTGTAATTTCCTGATTTGATTTAATCTTATTTTACACATCTATGAATGCTAACTTGAGAACTAATGTCAAATATTATAAAATATCACAGTCTCCGCGAAATTTCATAGTTAAATAAAACCTAACACATCGAAATTAGTTAAATTGAATTGCTTAAGTGGTATATTCAAAAGTCAATAACCTTTTGAAACGGTTGGTTTGAGGTACATTATGTGTGTATTACGATTTTTGCTTAGAATCTGCTAGAATTGAAATATGGAATAATACCAGGGTTCTTTTAAAATAAAATGAAACTCTGATGTGCCACGACTTTATGACCGATCCTGTACACTTAATATTACTCTGCCAAGATACAGGGTGGTCCGAATTGTATTCCGAAACTTCGGCAGCATGATCTAAGCATAAAAATAAGCAAAAAAGTTCAGTATAAACAAGGGTCCGAAAATACTTATTTCGAGATACAGGGTAGAAGATTCATTTTATTTCGATTTTTCTTTATTAAATTTTAATTTAAGTAACGTCATTATTTAGGTGAAAATTGGGTGTCTGGGAGTTTGTGCACGAGAAATTTGATTTTGATGTCAAAATGACCTATTTGTAGAGGGTGCGGCGCTACCTACATGCGTTTCGACTGTTTTGAAGAGCAATAATTATTTCAAAAATTCTGCATAAACCCACTGACTCAAAATATATACCCTCCATGACTTTACGTAAATGTCTTAAATCGCCATGGCAACTGTTTTTGGCAGAGTTTAGAATTAAAATAGTTAATACATGCCATTATTGACAAAAAAATAAGCACATCCTTTAAGATTTTATTCAATTAAATAAATTTTATTTTTTTAATCATAAATTTTTCAGAAAAAATGATGACAAACAGTTTCGTTGAACTTTTGGCACGTGATTCTTCAAATCTCAGCGATTTCAGTCTAATAACTATTTGGTCAACATTGTCAACATGTTTAATTTGTCAACTTAGACAGGTATTGATAATTTCAATTTCAAATATCTCGAGAACCATTACTGTAGCGATTTTACCAAGAGACGTTTTTTATGTGTAAAAACAGTTGTAGTATTTTTTACCAGCAGTTTTACATACAGATATGGAGATGGAAAAGTTATACTCTTCAAACCAGTTAAAGATATGTAGGTGGCGCCCTTTCCAAGTAGGAGCCATATTGATACCGAAATCAAATATCGCATGTCAAAAAACTCCAAAACCAATTTTCATTCAAATATTGGCGTTACTTCAAATTATTTGGAAAAATGGTACCAAAAACACTACAACTCTATCTCCACCAAGATTTATAATACATTTGAAAATTAAATTTTACTTTACTTAATCATGCTGCCTGAAATACAGTTCGGACAACCCTGTATATTTAAAAACCCTGTAACTTTCATATTTAACTTTTTACGATACCTCGTATATTTTACCTAATAATCAACCATTCCCATACATATCAGCGACCAGAAATCAACCGAAGAATTAAATTAGAATGGAGTTCATATGGAAAAAACTCAATCATATTTAAATGAACAATGCCATTTTACCTAAAGAAAATATTCTGAATTCAAAAGTGTACCACCAGTCATAACCTATAGGTACGTGCGTAACCTGCTCACTTAAACCAGACATTATAAAGACAAACTAAAGGCACAAAAATAACATCAAAACCTAATGATAATTGAAAACTGCACCTTGGTGGCAAGTTCATTTCGCTCTTAAAAATTAACCAAGGCATGTGTTGACATTTATATTAAATTTATATGGTTCTGACAGAAAATAACGTTTTAGAAAAAAAAAAAATTTTACAAAAATTATTGCTCAGAATTATTTATTGTTAAGCTCCATTCAGAACTGCAATTAGTGAATTTCAATTAGTTAATTTATACATTTTAGTTTACGATCATTCACAAAGTCTAAAAAACACAATAAAAATTAATAGACATTCTAGCAACAGCTTGCAGTAATCGGTTGTATCCATAAGAAAGCCTTAATATTTAATTTATAAAACAATAAACTTTTTGATTTCTAAATCCGTATTTTTCGCAGATGATAATCAAAGGCCAAATGATATTCCTCGCAAATTTTAGCAGAATTAGTGGAAGAGTCGAAAGTTTGTTAACTTTTTCCACTAATTGAACATTCTTACCAATTTTGATGTTCTAGATGCTATATCTCAAAATTGAGAACAAACTTTACGTTTTAATTGAAACCACTAATTGCGTGGTTCTTAGTGAAGCTTTGAGTAAAACCAACTATCTATTAATCCTGTATAATAAATCCCAACACTAAAATTTATACAAAACTGAGTTTAGGAACTAAATTTGATATAACTATATTTCTACACTCTATTAAAAACAATAAAAACAGGCTATACTAAAAAACATTAAACACACAAATATCGTTTTTACATCTAAGTGAATATTTATTACAGACTATAAAGTACAAAAATCATTAAAACAAAATGTTTCATTTATTTTCATTTATCCGTCCCGACCAAAACTTTTATCTGAAACCATTAAAAACTAAAAACGAAATAAGTACCTTAATGCATGCGATCGATTTGGCCTCGAACTAGACGCGAACGAACCGACAAGACGAATTAAAATCGATACAGAAAAGTAGAATTAAAGCTCCTTAAAACAGAGATATCGCCGACAATATTCGATAAGATATGCCACCGCTTAAATTGTCTTTGGTTTTCGTTTGTTTTTTTGTTCTGAAATCGTATTACTAGAAACCCAAATAAAGGAAAGTCCGGATGATCAAGTAGTTTGACACCAACAAGATATTTAGAGAAAAACAATATTTTATTTAATTGAAACAGTAAATATAAAAAGTGTAGTAGTATTAATATGGATTTTGGACAACTAATAATCTGAAAAGATGTATATGTTACGCACAATACTCGAATTCGGGTAATTCCCGAAAAAAATGCACAGAACTAGTTTTGAGCAAAAAATATTTCCCAAACCCGAAATTGTACATTTAAACGTGTATTGCGCATTACAAAATAGAAGTCAAAGCTAGTGACAGTATTTGATTTGCGCAAAAACTAGTTTGCGCATTTCAATACTGAATTTTGCTTGTCCTATTTGATCAATAACGCCTTAACACAAAGGATGGATTGTTTATGAATGTGTTTGATTCAAATATGATTAAACTGATAATGGATTAATAAATACATAATAATATAGG